GAAAAAGTGCACCCCCCAGCCTTCACACCCGCTGAAGTCCTTCAACTGGGTCAAGCTGAATGAGGTGAGTGGCTAAGGGACTGATGGGCAGGCAGGCCCCTGTCCTGCACCTTGCCCTTTGCACGCATCATCTTGGTTCTCCATTTGGTCAGACATTAGGGTGGGCACGGTGGGCACTGATGATGGATTTGCTGGAGTTGGTCGCTCATTGTCCCCTCTGAACACCAACACTAGGGGAAATGTTTGGTGCAGACCTTACTGTCACAGCCACTTGCCAGTGACCTGGTGTGTGCCGAAGGTGAATGGAGAAACAGACATTGGGGCGAGGGCGAGGGCGAGGGCGAGGGCTCAGTGGACAAGAGCACTTTCTCTGTAAACATAAGGAACTGAGTTTGAACCTCATTATCCAAATAAAAAGATGGTTGTGGCTGTATATGCCTTTAACTCCCGCACTGATGGACAGAGACGGGAGGATCCCAGGAGCTTGCAAGCCAGCTGGCCTAACCAAAGTGACAAGCTTTCAGTTCAGTGAGAGACCCTGTCTGAAGGAATGAGGCAGAAATGATGAAGGAAAACATGGCATCGCCTCCCTCCCAAGCGTTTTGGGTCTGACTGATTAGGCTATAAAGTGCTTACAGATCTGGAAGATGCACTGAGAGATGGCTCAACCCTAACCAATCCTAGTGTGCCTCGCTCAGGTCTGTTACCATAGTTGATTGTCCATGATGGTCTCTAAGATCCTTCTGCTTCTGGTTTCCCAGTCTGGGTGGAAGCATGGAGTGTGAATACAGCCCACTCCACCTCCTGAGTCACTAAAGCATTCGAGACACCTGTGACAGCATTTCACAGCTAGGTCTGTAAAGCTCCAAGATTCTCTGGGCAGCAGCTGTGACCTGTGAGTGCTGCTTTGTGAGAAAGCCACATGCAGGATCATCAACAGCTTCTCTGATATTGTCATCATGCCGGCCTTGGTGCTTGGGATTTTCCTCTGTGGTCCAGTATTAATAAAGGCTACATGATCCCCTAGGGACCCAGACCAGGACTGTACCCTGCCTAGATCCATGCGGTGGAAGTACGCATGCGTTGAGAGCCTGTTATTGAATCCCAAGCTTTCAATTCTGTGACAGGGCAGACTATTTAATTATTTGGCCTTCAGCTTCCCATCTGTAAACTGGGAAGAGAGTGTCACCACAACACCCTCCAAAGGATGGCTGTGAAGACTGACTGATAAACTATTCAGGAAGCACTCTGACACGGACAGTCTTGATAACGAGGGGTCAGTTATTACTCATGGTGTCTTCCACCTGTACACTAAGTCTGTCACCATGATTCTCATGTCAGCACAGTTCAACTGTGCTTCCCTGAGACTCAGCTTCCCATTTGGGCTATGAAAGTAATATCCTTCCATTTACCCACAGGTCACATAATAGCAGGGCCAGAAATGTCAGTCTGTGGGTCTGTGGGGCCCCAAAGGCGGTGCTCTGTGAGGGAAGTATCATGAAGCAAGACCCGGGACTTCTGTGGTTGTCTCCAGGGCCCAGAAGTCCCAGGAATCTAGGCTAGAGATGACAGAGTGTTGGAAAAACTAAATTGTAGAATAATCATGCAAGGTGGATATACCAGGGAGATACAGTTTCATGGTGTGGTGGTTGTGAGAAAGGAGCCGACCTCTCTCAGTTCCAGACCCCAGGACATTTCCATGAAGGGCCAAAAGCCCTAAGAGATGTGGGGAAAGCCTGTGTTTGAGAAGCAGTGACTGTTGAGGTGACTGGTTTGTCATGTTGAATACCCAACTGTTTCAGTCCCTCTATCCTTGTTCTGACTGTCACAAAAGACTAGGGCCTCCCCTTCCCTACCCCTACACGTGTGCATGAGACACTGGGTTTCCAGATCCCCCAGTGCTTCAATTGGCTCCCCTCCCTGCCTTCCCGACTCAGTTCCCCATCCCATCCTCTCTCTCCTCCCCCACATCTTCCTTTCAAGGAACCTAGTTTCTGTTTCTAGCCCCTTTGTCTATCCTACATATGCTCTTAAATGCAGACACACACACACACACACACACACACACACACACACACACTGGTTGTTTCCACCATGAAAAGAATGTGTCTGTGTTGGCTTTGGCCAGTTGCCTGTATCCCTTGCTTCTGTGAGCTTCCCAGCCCAGCATTCCACATGAGGGTCCCTGGCCTTCAGAAGGCCACAGGAATGTCTCCTCCCTCTTGACTCTGGCCTAGCCTCCCCTTTTCAGAGTTTAAGAAAATAGAAGTGAGGGAAAGGTATACTGTCTCTAATCTAAGGAGAAGGAGATGTAGGAAGTTGCCTGACCCGCCTCTAGACAGATGAAAGTAGGTGATAGGACGATTGTTGTTCCAAAGAAAGACTAATGTTGTAGATGAGACAAAGATTCTTGGAGGAGGGGTTGACAGTGAGGGGTGCTCCCCTATTCCATGCTTGTCCTCCATGACCCTGTCCCCTGGACCATCAACATGATGTTACAAGCTTACTGGTGCAGTTTGGGCTCTATGGACCCTCTATAACACAGGGCCCAAAAGCATAGGACACTGCCTCAATTAAGGGTGCTGGGAACTATAGATTTATGGGTGCATTGCAATCCTAAATGAGGGGGCACCTTCCCTGGCTCTGAACAACAGGAAGTTGAGGCAAGCTTTGCTGATCTGAACAGAGTCACTGGAGAGGGCCAGCATGTCCCAGCTTTGGCATGAGTCCACTTGCTGGGAATCTGGGAAAGTAGGCACATGCTCCTAGGAAAGAAAATGACCATCTCAGATCCAGGGAGTACATTCTATGCACAGGCCCAGACAATCCCAGAGATGCCCAAGTCCTAGTGCTTCCAGGGACTGCATGCAGTCAGAGAGCAGGCCGGCACAGCACCCTCAGAACACTGCCTTCAGTTGTGACTTTCTGAAAGAATCCCGGGTCCAACACTGTAGTGCTTCCAGTGGTTTCTGAGATGGAAAGAAGGCACAAGGAGGAGGTTGGCTTCTAGAATGTTGAAGAAGCAGGAGGTTGGAGAAGGGTGGGTATTATTGGACCCCTTTCTGGAATTGAGAGCCTTTGGTCTGCTTTTGGGGATAGGTGGGGTGAGGAGTGTTGGCATTTCAGTCATGGAGGAGCCGGTTCACCCATGGGTTCGTCTCCTTACCATGATTCTTAGGAGCGTGTCTCTGGTACCGTGTGGAATGAGATTGATGACATGCAGGTTTTTCGGATTTTGGACCTGGAAGATTTTGAAAAAATGTTCTCAGCATATCAGAGGCACCAGGTAAGACCATACCCTCTGGTCTCTTGGATCTTGACTTTCGGTCTTCACACATGCACGTGCACACACATGCTCACACACGTGTGCGCACACACACATCCTTGTATTCAAACCTTGTCCTTTCATTTTTCCTTTTTTCCTCTCTGTCTTTCTTCATTTTCCTTCCTCACAGGTATGCTGAATGACTTTATTGGTAATAGTTTCCATGTCCCTGACCAGGGCATAGAGATAAATAAGCTGCACAGCCTGGTGAGGCATCAACACAGCCTGTTCTGGGGATGGAATGGTACTTTTCACTCATTGGAAGTGGACTCTCAAACTTGGCCTCTGTAGAACACTGTTCTGTTTGGTTCAGGAATTATAGACTATGCCTAGGTGCCACTGTAGCTTTCAATCTATTTTCCTCACCATTCCCTACATACACACACACACACACACACACACACACACACATTTACATACTTACAGGAACACACATGCACACTCGAACACACACACATATATAGATAGATATCCACCCCATGGTGCAGGCAGTGTGGATACCTTACTACACACACACTCACATACACTTGCGCGCACGCACGCACGCATGCATGCACAGCTACCTACAGAGAAGTTAAGGCTGTAGGGAAGGTGATAGATGCTGTTCCATGCCACTTCCAAGAATCGAGACTGGGGCTGGGGCCTGAAGGCCTGCTCTTCTCTGCTGAGTCTCTGTATACATGGCCACAGAGGCTGGAAGGGGATTGGCTCACAGACAGATACAGGTATAAAATGATGAGCACTTGTAGGGACTGCCAGGGTACCGATTGTGAGGCCTCATCTTCCAATACTGAGTGACTCTGAAGATGGGTGGGGCTCCGGAATCTGAGTGCAACTGTCATGCCTGGGGACTTCCCCCAGGTCCACTTGGTTATGAACAGCTCAGGGGCTCTATGGCCCTTGTTTCCTCTATTTGGCTTTTAAGGTTTACACATTCATTCCTTCATCTCTGCTTGGCCCAGGACTCCAGCCTTGAGGACTTTTGGTATACTCAGGGGCCCTGATCCCTGGTTGGTTGCTAGATTCTGAGGCCCGCTTCCAACAGTATTCATAGGATGCCCTACTTTGCTTTTTGCCAAATCTAGACCTGGAGATGACTCTTCACAGGGCAGACAGGGCCCTGGTCTCATGGCCTGGCCAAAGGAGTGGTGTGGAGTTGACACTCTGGCCCATCTTGGGGTTCCAGATGAAACAATTGATTATTTAATTGATTTAAATGTTGGTGTCTGTGACATCTGATCTTCTACTCTTAGTTCCAAGCATTGTTTTAGCTCATGCTGTGGTTAGGCTGGCCTGGTCAGGGCAGTGGTCAAGCTGCAAGGGAGAGTCATGTGAAAACCTGTGCCCTGAGTAAGATGCGGGTGGGGTGTATGGCTGTTTCAGATATGGCAAGCCCATGCCTCTCTCCATTTGTGATGGGATTCTGGACTGGACTTTCCAGACTCCAAGACCCCAAGCTTGGATGGGAGACAGTCAAAAAAGAGCCTGTATGGGGCTAAAGCCTCCGGGCTTCTTCAGAAGGATTAAGTCTGGACACCATCTGATCTTCCCACTTCATGCTGCTGGGCCCACCCCCTCACAGCTCAGCTGGGCCTCACTCACATCAGCACCCAGGACCAAAGTCACAGGAGTCAAGCTAGAGCAATTCCAGAGGCCAAAGTGACCTGGTTACTTACTGCTTCTCTATGTCTTAGGGCCGCAAGCCTTGGGCCCTGAGTCTTCTCTGTGTCCTAGGTAGATTCTGAACTTGTGGCTTCAACTCCATCGGTGTCAGGGAGAAAGACACAGGACAAGCTATGCTCCTCGGTCCCCTTAGACATCAGAAAGGCAAAGGGAAGGAACATATTCAAGGCTGCCTGGTTTTCCTGCCCCAGAGATCAGGGGCAAGAAGCTAGTGGTCAAAGCCTGGGGACTACTTGGCTCAACTGGGCACCTCCCTGGTCCTAAAATGGTGGCCTGCTTGGCGTTCACTTGCCCAGCTTCTCTGAGTGCATGCCTGCCTTGAGCTGCTGCCCAGAACTGTCTCTGGGTTCCTGTCTCCTGTTCCTGGGGGTGCAATGGACAGACTAGATGCCAAGGATACCCACATTTGTCTTGGTGTTCCTGAGTCCCCAGCCTATTGACTAACATTGTGTATGTTTGATTCTCTGATGACTGTGGCTGTTGCCTGCCTAGGAGCTGATAACTAATATAATTTTCAGCAGGTGAGTCACGCTCTGAACATTCTGTCTCTTACCCACTGTCCTGGGCTGCAGCCCTGCACTGGGTCCACGAGGGAAGGCTTGCCTGCACTGCCTCCAGCCTCTGTTACTCATCCATGTAGGGTGGCATGCAGGAGGGTCCCCAGAGAGAGAGAGGCAATGTGAGAGATCGGGGGACTGCAAGCAGACTTCTGCCAGCCTTGGAGGCGAATGTCCACAGAATGGAGAACACTTCTAGGTCTATTGTGTCACCTACCAGTCCCAAGGCAAGGCTTTCCAACATGACTACACATGTTGGGCACTGCACAACTCCAGAGGGAAAATCCTCAGATAATGGCGTGCCTAGCAGGCCCTGGAGTTGTGTGCCTTGGAACATGTGCTCTGAGAAAGTCCCTGGAGTAATAGCTGTGTGCTAAACAGGCTCCCGAGTCCCTGGTTGGGGAGGTTCAACAGCAGGAGGTTTGGGAGCTTTGATTGTGTCTATTAGCATCCCAGAAGTGAATTCAGTAGAGATTCTGTCTCTGTTTTCACATATGACCTTATAAAACCCTTTAGTCTTGGCATATTGAGTTAGTCTGGAAGTCTCCAGGAGTTAGAAACTATGGCCTTACGGATGCTTGGATCAGCTTCTCTTTATAAGCTTAGGGAGGCTCTGGGCGGGTGTGGTTGTATGATAGGCAACACCATAGTGCCTGAAGCCACAGAGATCAATTATGGCTTCTGTTTGTACAGCTCCTTTACTGGGCTTCCAAGAGAGGCTGAGTTCAAAGAGGGGGGACCCTTTGCTACCCTCTACCCTTCCTAACCCAGGCTAGTCCTAGATCCTTTCATAGGAGTTGGTGGTTAAACACCCTACCTCTCCCGTCTGCTCTTTCTCTATGTCCACTGGATCAGGGGCATCCCCACAATGAAAAAAGGTGGATCTGGGAGTGGGCAAGGGAACTAGGAGTACCCGCCTCAGTACTCCCTGTTTAACTCATCCTTTGCAGAAAGAACTTGGCTCCACGGAGGACATCTACCTGACTTCCCGAAAAGTCAAAGAGCTGTCAGTCATAGATGGCCGGAGGGCCCAGAACTGTATCATTCTTCTCTCCAAGTAGGTACTCTTCTGTAGCAGGGAATGGCACCCCAAGAAGCCTGAAATGGGTGGTAAAGGGGCTGAGATTGGGATAACTCCGTGGTAGAGTGCTTCCTTGACTGTCCAGCAAGCACCAGGCCCTGGGGTCATCCAGAGCACTGCAAATCAACAAACATGCAGAGGAAAGTGGTGATGCTGGCCTTGTCTCTCTGGCTTCCCTGGAGGAGCAGGGGTGGATGCTGGTGTACACTGCTGTCCTGCAAGCCCATGTTGAGCAGCATCATGGAGCTCTTCAGGCAGGCAACTGCCCGGTCCCTGTCAGCCCACGGAGGGCCCACTCAGCTTAGGCCTGGAAGCTGCATGATGTCAGCCTGCAAGCATTTCCCTGGGCTTTGGAACAAACAAGCAGTATCTGTATTAACAGCGCAGCTTCTGTGTGGGGGCCTCCCCCAGGCAGGGTCAGGGGCACCGCCCCAAGCTCTATTCTTAGTGCCGCCTACAGCCTCCTCTGGGACATCTGCCCCCCTCTGCACTCCCACAAGTTCCCTGGCCTGAGTTTCTGCATTGAGTGGTGGAGGAGTGCTGGTTCCCTAGGGTTCTCATTGGGTGTGTGCATGGAGGAGTGGAGAAGGACTGTGTAGGTGGTGAGGAGGGGCTCTTGGAAGCTGGGTGGGATCTGGGCACTGTCAGAGATGCAAGAGTGAGACTGTTCTCCCAGAGTTCTGCTGGCACCCTGCTCTGTCCTCCCATGGAGACGCTAAAGATGTGTGAGGCAGGAGGGAGGGGTGGAGGAGGAAAAAGGCCTTCCAGAATGCCTCTGCCTGTCCATCTTAATCCCACGTGTCTCATCAGCTCTGACAAAGCTCAAGCAAGGCATCGGGGAATCAGGCTTCGATGAGAACTAAAACATTCATTATTGTACATATGGAGTGCATCAGATTTCCTCTTTATTAAAATTAGACTTGATTATGAAATTAGCCTGGGAAGGCTGTGTGGAGGAGGGAGCAGTTAGTGTTCTCACTGGGGCTGGAGAAGAGAAGATGATGACCAGGCCAGGCTTCTCAGGGTGGGTTTGTCACAGGTTGAAGCTTTCAAATGAGGAGATACGACAGGCCATCCTGAGGATGGATGAACAAGAAGACCTCGCTAAAGACATGCTGGAGCAGGTGAGCCATACCACTTTCTCCCCCATCCCAGAAAGGGTGAAACCCTTGGGTTGAAGAGGCGCTGAGATTTCCAGAAACTTCCCTGGACTAGGCTTTCCTCTAGAACAAGCTGCCAGGGAACTTTGTGGACCCTACAAGGTCTCAAGGATGGGTCAGGTGGCAATGGTCATTTTCTCCCCAGGTCTCTTTCACTTTAGTTCATTGTGTCCTTTAAGAAGGACCTGGGAAGTGGCAGACAGGCAGGCCTCCAGTTGAACATCATTGAAATGAGAGTGCAGTTGTAAAGCATGCCTGGCATCCTGGGTTCCATCCCAAGACTGAGGTGGTGGTGCACATCTGTAATCCCAGAACTGGGTTGGAGGCCAGCCTGGGCGTCATGAGACTGTCTCAAAAGAGGAGCGGGGCTGCTGGAGAGATGGCTGAGTCATTAAGGGGCTGCTTGCTGGAGAGATGGCTCAGCAGTTAAGGGTACTTGCTGCCCTTGTAGAGGACCCAGGTTCGATTCCTAGCACCCATATGCTGGCTCACAACCACACATAACACTAGTTTCAGGGGTGCTGTAGGTACCAGGCACACACATGGTACACGGACATGCATGCAGACAAAACATCTGTGCACATAAATTTAACATAAAATTTAAAATCTAAAAAGAGAAGAAAAAGAGTGAGTGTCAATCCAAAGGCATGCATTTTTCCTCAGGTAATAACAAGCCCAAAGTGCTGACAGTATTTTTCAAGGGGACATGCAAGGACAAATAACAAGTGGCATGATTTGTAGTAAGGAACACTACAGATAAGTGAGAGAGGGCAGAAGCTCCAGTTTTGGAACTAAGCAAAGACTGGAACAGGTGCTTTGTGAAAGGTACCGGCAGCCCGTGAGCATACAAAAGTCCCCAAATGTCAGTAGCCCCCACAGAAACCCAGCAAACCATAGTGGAGGAGTGTCAGAAGGGTGACCCATTAGCTGCAGTTAAAGACTGACGGTCACATGTTGACAAGGGTGTGGCGGAACAGCAGTTCCCATTCAGCTTACTTTGCAGAGGCATTTGGAATGAATATGCAGGCTAAACTTAAGTCTGCCCTGTTGCCTGGGTATCTCACACTTAGGTACATACTAAAGAAAGGTCAATATAGATATTAAAAGACATATACAGACATAATTGTAGCAATTTGACTTATTAAACCTCCCAATGGGTGAGCAACCCAACTGATTGTTAATAGAAAAGTGGACAAACAGACTGTGGTATGTCCCTTCAGTGGAATACTGGTAATCGGTAAATAAAGACAAACTAGTGATATACAGCATGGACAAATCTTAGATGTTATGTTGAGCGAAAGAAGCCAGATGCAAATTAAACATAGTGACTTGGCTCATTTTCTGTGGCTATGACAAAATACCTGAGACCAGTTAATCTATAAATAAGAGTTTACTTGGCTCATGGCTTTGGAGGCTGGCAAGTCCAAGAGCATGGTGTCGAATCTGCTTGGAACCTGGTGAGATCTTTTACCGTATCAAAGCATGGTAGAGGGCATCATGGGAGGAGACAGAGGAAATGCTATAACTTGGCTTTCTCTTTCTCTTATCAGGCCACTAATGGCACTACTAGGGTCCCTCCCTTGTGACTTCATCCAACTCTAATTAACTCCCCAGAAAGGTTCTACTGCCAGATGAAATTAACATTAATTGGGAAGTTTCCATGTGTGAACTTCAGAGGGACACTTTCAAACCATAGCACAAAGGCTGGAGAGGTGACTCAGAGGTTAAGAGCACTGGCTGCTCTTATAGATGTCTAGGGATCAGTTCCCAGCACCCACATGGAGGCTCACACCTTCTTTGACTCTAGTTCCAGGGGATCTGATGCCCTCTTCAGGTTGCTGCAGGCACTGCACCCACATGATGCACTTACATACTCTTGGAAAACACTTGAGCTCAATTTGTAGCCAGACTGACCTCAAAATTGATGTGTAGAGCAGGTTGGCCTAACTCTCTAGGTAGCTCAAGCTTGCCTTGAAATTGGTGTGTAGCCCAGGCTGGCCTTGAGCTCTTAATCCTCCTGCCTCAGCAGGTCCTCCCCATATTGAGCAGGGGCGATGCATGGGCTTCTCCACACATCACACTGTATGCACTGCTTAACAGCTTCCTATCTGACTCACACCTACTCTTTGCAGCTCCTCAAGTTCATCCCTGAGAAGAGCGACATTGACCTCCTGGAGGAGCACAAGCATGAGATTGAGAGGATGGCGCGTGCAGACCGCTTCCTTTATGAAATGAGCCGGTCAGACAGGCACCAGACATAGCAGAAGGGCGGGGAGTCAGGGTCCAGCTCTGACAATGGGGCACCGGGCATAGCAGGAAGAGGGGATTCAGGGCAAAGTTTTTCCAGTGGGTCACCGGGCATAGCAGGAAGCAGGGGATTCAGGGCACGGCTCTGACAATAGGGCACCGGGTATAGCAGGAGGGAGGAATTTCAGGGCCTGACTCTGCCAATAGGACACTGGGCACAGAAGGAGGAACAGGGTTCAGGTTGCCACTCTGTCAAAGAAGGGGAGGGAAGGATGGCCAAAGAGGAAGCTAGAACTGCCTTGGAGCCGTGGGTCCACCTGTGACATAGCCTGTCCTGTCCATAGGATTGACCACTACCAGCAGCGACTACAGGCCCTTTTCTTCAAGAAGAAGTTCCAGGAACGGCTGGCAGAGACCAAGCCCAAAGTAGAAGGTAAGACTGGGGCCTGTGGTGCATACCTGGAGTGGGGACCGGACTGTGGATTGACAAGTGGGGCAGAGGGAAATTTCTGTCTTACCCTGACCCCAGAGACATACCCAAGTTAAGGATAACAGTCAAAACTATGACATTTTCATTTTCAGCGGAGTTTCATGTGGCCTAGTCTGCTTCCAGTTTACTATTTAGCTGAGGCTAGCCTTAAACTCCTAATCTTCCTGCCTCCACCTTCCAAGTGATGGGATTACAGTAATGCACCACCAACTTGAAGTATGGTTATTATAGAGAAATGTTCTTATTCAGGTTGACTTGTGTGCCAACCACATGATGCTTTCCTCAGCCTCTGCATTGGCTCCTCAGGGTGGGGCATCCCTTGACTTCTGCCCCAGCCTGGGACAGAAAGGACCAGGAAAGGAATGTAGCCAGCACCATGTTGGAGCCTGGCATGCAGAGTCATCATCCACCATTTCCTATTTGAGGAGCCCCAAGTTCACAGTCTAGTGGGTATGTTTGCATAAGTGCGAGCTCATCAGAAAGCCAGTTGACCACATAGACCCTAGAGGTATCTGTCTCGATACAGAGTCTTCTACACATTGCCATTTCTGAGAGCTGTGAGGAGTGTCGTGACAATGTAGATGCCCTTCCAACTGGTCCCTTTGTTCCTCATCACTCACTGTGTCAGACAGTATATATCCTTGGGGTTGCCTGTGGGGATAGCAGAGGAGCAGGACTCAAGGAGCTGTGGAGAAGAATGGAAGGAAGGATGGTGGGCAGTTGTGAATCCAGCAAGGCAGAAGCAGGAGAAACTGGTTGGGGGCTCACTTGGGGGGTAAGGAGAAGACTTACACAGAGCAGAAAGAGCAATAAACCATCTTGGATGCTCAGGGTGCCAAGCTGGAGGCATAGCAGAGCATGGGTGCCCCCTGCTGGACACTCTCTGAGATGCCTAGTTCAGGTTGGGTCTTTCCCAAAGGTTGCTTACAAATTTCTGGAGTAGGAGTTTGTAGACGTAAAGGCTGTGGTGTTCACTATGTAAACACATGTACAAGCAACAAGGGACCTTCATATTGTAATCATCCATCTGGGGTATGTCCTTCATACAACAAGTCTTTTCACCTCCACTCTTTTCCTATTGTAAACTACTTTGGGGACATGAGGTACAAGCCAAGGTGTAGATGTTCAACTATTTATGCCTCTTAGGTCACTGGGGCAAAAGTGAGTGGCCGTTCGGGACTATGGGACCAGTCTAGCTTAAGCTCTGGGAAGGTTTCATCTTAGACCATCAGGTGCTCCAAGGAGATGCACCCAAGGAGACATTCCCAAGGAGACAAGCCCAAGGAGATGTACCCAAGGAGATTACCCAAGGAGATGTGTCCAAGGAGACATGCTCAAGGAGACATGTCCAAAGAGAGGTACCCAAGGAGACATGTCCAAGAAGAGGTACCCAAGGAGACATGCCCAAGGAGATGTACCCAAGGAGATTACCCAATGAGACGTGCCCAAGAAGACATGCCCAAAGAGATGTACCCAAGGAGATGTGCCCAAGGAGACATGTCCAAGGAGAGGTACCCAAGGAGACATGCCCAAGGAGAGGTACCCAAGGAGACATGCCCAAGGAGAGGTACCCAAGGAGACATGCCCAAGGAGAGGTACCCAAGGAGACATGCCCAAGGAGAGGTACCCAAGGAGAGGTACCTAAGTGCTAAGGCTCAGCCAGGACCATCTTTAGTATCAATTTACATGGGAAAAGATTGCTGGAGAGAACATCTGTGGAGGCATCACACTTCTAGGCTGGGTCCAGATTTGTAGACATCCCTCTACTATAAATGGCTGCTGTCCTTGAAGGGCTTTGATTTAGGTTGCGGAGAGTGGCCTGAAGGCATATATACACATCCATGCCAGTGTGCTCGACTGTTCAGGAGTTGGGCTCTATATTTATTCCTCCTTCTAGCTCTTCCAGAAGTATTCCTGAAGTAGCTAAGATCGAGCCTACCTCAGTTGAGTGTGGAGCCATTGACACCCACCCTTTCCTCCTCTAGACAGGGCTCTAGGTGAAGTTACTTTAGTGTATTTTACCAAGTTTAACAAATTTCTCAATTCTGTTTTGGATATATTCTCCCTATGAATACATTCATTGCTGAGTATACTAAATTTACCAATTTTCATTACAAGTAGACTCACTAAATATAGCCTGGATGAATGTGACTGCAAATGTAATATTCTTATGAATGTATTCATGAACATATTATTCCTGTGAATGCCTTTGAGATGTCAGCATCACAGACAGGACTTTTCTCATCTGCTCTGATTTCCCTTCAACGCTCATCATTTTCTGTTTGCCAACATTTTTAGCATTTTTAAAGGATATTTCTTTGTAGATTTTTCAAACAGCCCATCAACCTTAGAAAACTCTCCCCAGCCATATAGGTGGCTGAAGATTTTTGCAAGTAAGTTCTCTTTTCTTTCTTTAATTTTTTTGAGACAGTTCTCTGTGTAGCTTTGGCTGTCCTAGAACTCATTTTGTAGACCAGGCTGGCTTCAAACTCACAGAGATCCACCTGCCTCTGCCTCCCAAGTGCTGGCATCAAAGGTGTGTGCTACCACTGCCCAGCTAAATATTGAGGGTTTTTTTGTTTTGTTTTGTTTTGGAGACTGAGTTTCTCTGTGTATTTCTGACTGTCCTGGAATTCACCCAGTAGACCAGGATGGCCTCGAACTCAGAGATCCCCTTGCCTCAGCCTCCCCAGTGCTGGGATTAAAGGTGTGGGGCAACACCACCAGCTCCAGCCCTTCTTTACAATCCTCTCTCAAATACTAGAACTGTCACCCTCCCAAGTGAGCATCCTCTCTCCTCTTGGTGTCTGGATGAGTTTTTCTATTTTAACTTTTTATAAATGGAATAATGTGTTGAATGACTTTATGATGGCTTCTTTTGCTTATGTCTTAAGAATCCCCCCCCAAGGGGAAGGACCTAGGCCTGGCCCAGGATGATGTGGTGGACTTTGGAGAGCCCCCATTGAGGGCCCTATCCTGCCTGGGGAGTAGAGGGTGGATGGGGTAGGGGGTAGGTTAGGGGTGGGGGAGGTGTGGGGATGAGAGGAGGGAGAGGGAGAAGGGATTGACATGTGAAACAAGCTTGTTCCTAATTTGAACTAATTAAAAAAAACACACACACAAAAAAAGAATTTCCCCTCAGGATTATGGGGGTTGTTGAGCTAGGCAATGCCTGCCCTCCCACTTTCTAAGGCCCCAGTGACAGACCAAGGTTAGAGTCCACTGAAGTTCCTCCTGGGGAACCAATGAGGGATTACTGACAGGAGTGTGGGTGACCTCAGAACAATCACACTGGAAGGTCTGTGGCCAGCATGGATGGTGGCTTCCCCATGACTGCAGAGATGGAGCCGTTCACCTAACAGTCCCCAGTTTATATTCTCTGTCATCCCCATCCCTGGACCCCAGGGCCATGTGGCAATTAGGAAGAAATGGCATACAAGGGTCTGGAGGGCGGGTGCTTGAATGAGAGTGCCAGGTCCCTGCCTGCTACCTCCTATGAGGGGCATCAACAGTCACAAACTCAGCTGGGACGATCATTTACAAGCAATTTCAAATAACCTCCTGAAGATGGTGGCTGTGGGACTTGGATGATAGTGTTGCCCAATAGCTTAGCATTGTAGTTTTGAAATTTCCCCTGAGATACACATGGAGGGTGGGGATTCAGTTTTCAGTGCTGCATTTTATTCCATTATAAGGTAATGTACCCATTCTGGTTTGTAATTTTAAGAAACTGGGCTAGAGGGAGATGGGGAGATGGCTAAGTTGATAAAGTGCTTGCTGTATAAGCATGGAGACCTGAGTTCAATCCTCTAGAAACCACATTTCAAAACCACGGGAGGCAGGCATAACAGCATGCCTGGACCCCGGTGCTGTGGCTGTGGACCAGAGGATCCCTGAGCCTCCCAGGTGAGCTGGTGAAAGTGTCAAGCCTCAGCATCACTGAGGGACTTTGTCTCAAAAACTAAGCAGTGGCATGATTAGGAAGACACCCGAAGCCAATCTCCAGCCTCTACACAAATGCATGCACATGTAAACAGACACAGGCAGGCATGCACTGGGACCAGACTAAATATGCAATCATAACCACAGGAGGTTAGCCCATAAAATGTACATATGTACGATCTATAGAATGTACATATGTGTGATCTATAGAATGTACATATGTTTGATCTAAAGGCTGTGTGGACAACTCTCACTTCTCATTTTTATAATCTTCACAGTTACATTTGCTATATTTTTTTAACTGACTGAAAGTTTCTGCAAACTTGGGACCTGGCGTTCTCTTTTTATGTGATCTATGTTTGTGTTTGTTGTATGTGTGGCATGTGCACACACGTGCACTCAGAGACCAGAGGAGGCCGCCAGATGTCCATCTCTCTGTACCTGAGGCTTGTTCGGGCTGCCTGGCAGGCTAGGAGGCTTCCAGGGTTCTCCTGTCTGCAGCTGTCCTTCCTCCAGCACTGCAGTTGCAGCCCTACCCATGGTTATGCCTGGCTTTTTTTTTTAAGGTGCTGAGGATTTGAACTTGGCTCCTCTTGCTTTTATAGCAAGTGCTGCCACCCACTGAAGCATCATCTTCCAAGCCCTGGGGGCTTTTGTTTTATTTTCATAACAATATTCTTCCACATAGCCAGAGGGCACCAGGTGGTTTGGTCTTCTTACTGCTATGTCAGAACCCAAGGCATTGTCTGAGGAGGGTACCTGAGGGTGACCTCTGACCTCCACATCCGATGTGCACATATATAGACATGAATATACACACCAGCACGAACATATATGAACATATAAAATACAGAATTTCAAAATATGCCAAAGTATCCCATAATAAAAAGCTCCAGGAAGCACAAAATTTGTTTGGTCAAGAAAGATAAAGTGGCCATATTCATAAAAAGTGTAATAATCTTCATGTTCATGATAAGATAGTCCAGATCATTCTAGGTGTGGTCTACCCGGAGGGTAAGCTAGTCTTGTCCTGGCGCAGGGGTCGGGGGGTAAGAAATGGAGTGTCTTGAAGAGAACCTGATAGTCTCTACCCAATAGTAGCCCCTTCCAGAATCCCCCTGAGAAGCCAGGAGCCTTGATGGCTGCCTTGCCCCAGTCTGTGTAACATCTGAGCTGTCTCTCTTCTCCCAGCCATCCTGCTGGCCTCCAGGGAGCTAACCCTCAGCAAGCGTCTGAAGCAGATGCTGGAAGTGGTCTTAGCCATCGGTAACTTCATGAACAAGGGGCAGCGTGGGGGCGCCTACGGGTTCCGGGTAGCCAGTCTCAACAAGATTGCTGACACAAAGTCCAGCATTGACAGGTGGGGACTCACGGGCTTCCTCGGCCATCTCACCCCTTCCCATCTCTAACCCTCTTCTTCTATCTCTCTGTGCTAGATGTCTTGTATGTTTTAAAAATATTTTAAAGAATGATTTTAGTGGTGTGTGTGTGTGTGTGTGTGTGTGTGTGTGTGTGTGTGTGTGTGTCTGTGTGTGTGTCTGTGTGTGTGTCTGTGTGTGTCTGTGTCTGTGTGTCTGTGTGTGTGTGTGTCTGTCTGTCACTCTGTGTGTCTGTGTGTCCACATGCAATGTCTGTGTGTGTGTCTGTGTCTGTGTGTCTGTGTGTGTGTGTGTCTGTCTGTCTCTCTGTGTGTCTGTGTGTCCACATGCAAGCAGTTGCCTGTGGGACCAGCAGAGGGCACTGGATCCCTTGGCACTGGAGTTACAGGCATTTGTGGATTCTCAGAACGAACTCAGGACCTCTGGAAGAGCAGACAGCCCTGGTAACTGCTGAGCCATCTCTCCAGCCTACTCTTCATCTTTCCCTCTCATCACACTCCATCTGGTTTCATCGCCCCCTCTACTGACACAACTGTCATCCACAGGAACATCTCTCTGCTTCATTACCTGATCATGATCCTGGAGAAGCATTTCCCCGACATCCTGAACATGCCCTCGGAGCTGCGGCACCTATCAGAAGCCGCCAAAGTCAAGTAAGCGGCCCTCCATGCTTCCTTTGCCTGTGATCACACTACTGGCTCCCTCACTTGAGCAGACACTGGGAATGGACAGTGTCTCGGGGTGTGCTTTGAAAAGAACCAGACAGAGACAGCTTGCTCTCTGAGGTACAAATCATCTTATTTCAGAGGTGATTCTAGAAAATACCAGAAGAATGGAGAAGTAAGCCATGTATAGAAAGAATGCCTGTAATAGATGCATTATTGAGCCAGTTGCACTGTGGGAAAATGGAACTTAAGCCTAAGAGGGAAACAGTATAGAATAGAACACTCTTCCTCTGTTTAGCCCATGGTGGGGGTGAGAGATTGCGTTAGTTATGCAGCACACTGGCTAAGTGTCCTGGGGTGTGAACATCACTCAAACAGGCAGTTGGGGCTGAGACAGAATAAAGAACAATTGGCTGGGTGCTGGAGAGATGGCTCTTGGTTAACAGCATGGCTGCTCTTCCAGAGGACCCCCGTTCAAATCTCAATACCCACATGGTGGCTCACAACCATCTATGACTTCAGTTCCAGGGGATCCTGTACCCTCTTCTGGCCTCCTCGGGCACCAGGCATGCGTGTGGCATAAAGACTTATATATAAGCAAAACACTCACACACATAACATAAACTTAATAATAAGCACATGTTTTAAATTCTGGTCATCTGGAAGAATGGGGTCCTTGAACAGTAATAGGCAGGCCATCCACAGCATCTGTGAAGACTGTCAGACTTAATCTGTGGTCTGGGGAAACCAGAAATGCTAAAGCTGACAGGTATCCAATGGCACTGGGTGCAAGATATTCTGTGCTATAACAAAACACCTGAAACTTGGTAACTATAAAAATTAGAGTTGTATTTGACACATGGCTCTGCGGGATTGGAAGTCCAAGAGCCTGGTGCCATAATCTGCTTAACATCTGGTGCGCTACAGTGTAGCAGCAGCATCCCAGGCTAGGACAGAAAACAAAGAGCCACAGTGCCATCGTGGGGGCTCTGCCCTCAGGACTGACCTCATCCTATCAAAAGTATCTCTCCAAAGCTCCACCTCTAAATACCACCAACCTAGGGCTTTGGAGAAACACCCTGCTAAATGATGATGACACTACCCAATGGTAATGAAAAGAAGTAAATCAAGCCAGATGCTAGTGTGAGAAAGCTTTTGATAGGGCTTAGGAGATGATGCAGCAGGAAGCATGAAGGTCTAAGTACCACACCTGGAACCCAAACAAACAAAAAAGTGGACAGCTCCTAAGATAGATGCCTGAAGTTGTCCACTGAGTCCAACATACATGTGCATGCACAAACATGCACCTGCACTTACACACACACACACACACACACACACACACACACACACACACACACACACACACACACACACACACACACACACAC